ACCCACCCGCGAACCCACCCCGCGACCCATCCGCGACCCACCCCGTGACCCACCCGCGACCCACCCGCGACCCACCCCGCGACCCGCCCGCGACCCGCCGCGAGACCCCCCCGGCGACTCAACCGCGACCCACCCGCGACCCACCCCGTGACCCACCCGCGACCCACCCGCGACCCACCCGCAACCCACCCCGCGACCCGTCCGCGACCCACCCGAAACCCCCCCGGCGACCCACCCGCGACCCACCCGCGACCCACCCGCGACCCTCCCGCGACCCACCCCGCACCCGCCCACGACCCACCCGCGACCCACCCGCGCGACCCACCCGCGACCCACCCCGCGACCCACCCAACATTTTCGGAGTTTGCGGCGGGTTTTTTTGCGTTCGTTCCAGGTGGAGAACCTGCGTCTTACCCACGACCCGAATCGCGCCCGCGACCCACCCGCGACCCACCGCGACCCACCCGCAACCCACCCGCGACCCACCCCGCGACCCGCCCAAAATGTTCGGCGCCTGCGGCGTTTTTTTTTGCATTCGTTCCAAGTGGAGAGCCTGCGACCCACCGGCGACCCAAACCGCGCTCAGTGCATGAAATCAAAATTACCCCAGTGCGACCCTACCTAGCAGTTGGAGCCCCTAGGAAAGCAGCAGACATTGCTATTATATGTGATGCTGTGCAATGCCATGTTATGCTGCGCGATGTTATGATATGATATGCAGTGATATGATGCGCTATGCGATGCTATGCGATGCTAAGCTATGCTAAGGTATGAGGCATCATGCTGCGATGTGCGATGCTAAACTATGCGATGATTTGCTATGTTATGTTATGATATGATATGCTGAGCTGCGCTATGATATGCTATGATATGATATGATATGCTGGGCTCTGATATGATATGCTGTGCTGCGCGATGCTATGCTACGCTATGCTATGCTGCTCTGCGATGATAAAGCTCGGCGAAGCTAAGATGAAGGTAAGCTAAGCTAATATAATTTCGAGCTAGGATGAAGCTAAGCTAAGCTAGGATGAAATAAGCTAAGCTAAGATGAGATAAGCGACGCTAAGCTAAGGGGATGTAACTGGGGGAACCGCGGGGCGGATACTGGGGGAACCGCCCGGGGCGCTTTCCACTGCCCGGCCCCTTTTAAGCCCAGAGAGTAAGAACCCTTCTACGCAGAGCCTAGGTAGGAAATTGTCAGCGCCTGCGGCGGGCTCCTTTTGAATTCCTTCCAAGTGGAGGTGGGGAGCCCGCGACCCACCCGCGACCCAAACTACGGCCACTGAACATGCCAAAACTTCGGCGCAGGCGGCGGGGTTTCTTTTGCATTCGTTCCAGGTGGAAAACCTGCGACCCAAACCGCGTTCAGTGTACAAGTCAAAATGTTCAGCGCCTGCGGCGGGCTGCTTTTGAACCCCTTCCAGGTGGAGGTGGAGAGCCCGCGACCCACCCGCGACCCAAACCACGTTCACTGAACAAGCCAAAACTTCAGCGCCTGCGGCGGTCTGCTTTTGCATTCGTTCCGGGTGGCCCACCAGCGATCCCCCCCGCGCTGAACTTGTCAGAGCACGCAAATCGGCGCCTGCGGCGGGCTTGCTCGCACTGGTTTGGGAAAGCGCCCTCGTGACATTCCCCCGATCCGGCCCACGTTGACTCTACAACAGCACGTCGGCGCCTGCGGCGGGGGCTGTGTCTGAACACGTTCATTGACAATCCAGCTGCCTGCTGCAATTCGACATCCGTGCCCAAAGCCTGGGTCCAGGGGGAGCTGCCTCAAGGCGCCCACAATTAAGGGGCCTCGGTGCGCTCGAGGACCCTCCTGAGGGGGGCGTGACGCCTTCGTCGCCCGCGCCCGCCCCCTCACTCTTATCCTCAACTGCGGGGTGTTACGTAGTGGATATCGCGGAGAGTTGCGAGTCGTTGGCGTCTCCACGAGCGAAAGCGAGCGAGGTCCTAGTTCGAGAGGTAGAGGTATATGGTATAGGTAGTAGAGACCTGAGAACCGCTCGTGTCTCCACGGGCGAAGGCGACTGGAGACGTGGAGACGTGGTCGAAGACGTAGTGGTCGGTGTTGTAAATGTCGTTGTGGCTGTCAAGGGCCATCGCGCCCGCGACAGAATTTCAGCTGGATTCTCAAGTCGTCGGTCGAGTCTCGGTGGCCCGGGTAAGTAAAGGAACGGGCGCAGTGGTAGCGCTGGTGTCGGGGCCCACGTAGCGGTCGAACTCGTAGTTTGCACTTGCAGCTCATGTTGTAGTCACCCTGCGGGTAATAACCTTTGCAAGCGTTGTGCGTGAGGGCGGTGGTGAGCAGAGCTGCCGCGGCTGCAGCAGCTCCGCTACCGAATTTTAAGTAAGTGCTCCAAGACATGACTGTCAGTACGGTAGTGTCAAAGAGTGGAGTGGTATGGTGATGGAGGAAAGAACAAAGCCTCTCCTGCCAACACCAAACATCAAGCGCAAGCAACGCCGCCTGCACTCGCAAGTCGGACGGCGCTGCCGTGGACCAAAACAGCAGCGGGAGAAGGCAAACATCCGTCCCCACCCAGGGACGCACCCTCAAAACAATTATGCTCGCGTGTCGCCGCGGCGGCCCCAGCGACGCGCTATGCCCTGCAGGGGGATATCGTGTCGCTCCACTCCGCGGGGCGGGAGGCTGTGAAAACCGCGGGACGTTGACGCTTGGGGGCCGGGACGTGGTCAGCGTTTCACGCCGAAGCGTGGCGGGCCAGAACTGGCGGCGCGGCACGTTACGCCAAAAAACAGTCGCACCATGGCACCCGTTTTCAGACGATTTGGCACTTTGAATGCTGGCGATGGAGCGGATTTCGAAAGCCAGATCCTTACCCACTGCAAGCGGCATCTCGACCTCGACACCGCCTCAGGCGCATTTTGGCCGAATCGGCACCACTAGGTGGCACCTTGGAATACTATGATTTATGCTTTTTTTGTTCTGCCTGGTAGGGGCGGTTTGCGGGTGCCCCCAGGGCACCAGCCCAGGGGGGGGCGGCGGCATCGCTGGCGCGCCGGCCGGCGGCGGCGGCTGCGCGGCCAGTGCTGCAGAGGGCCGGGTGGGCGCCGGCGCCGGGGCGGCCGGCGCCGCGGAGGGCTGAGCGGGCGCCTGCGGCGGCGGCGGCGGAGACGGCGGCGGAGGCGGGGGGGCATGGAAAGAGCAGGGGGAGGGTCCTCCGCCTCCTCCTCCTCCTCCTCCTCCTCCTCCTCCTCCTCCTCCTTTTCCTCCTCATCGGCCTCCTCCTCCTCCTCCTCCTCCTCCTCCTCCTCCCTCCTCCTCCTATTCCTCGGCCTCCCCCTCTTTTCCTCTCCTCCTCCTCTCTCTCTCCCTCCTCCTCCTCTCCTCCTCCTCCTCCTCCTCCTCCTCCTCCTCCTCCTCCTCCTCCCTTTCTTATTCTTAGTATTATTGTTATTAGTATTAGTATTGTTATTATTATTATCATTATTATTGGTATTATTATTGCTATTATTAGTATTATTATTACTTTTAGTAGTATTAGTAGTATTATTAGTAGTAGTATTATTATTAGTAGTAGTAGTAATATTGTTATTTTGTTTAGCATTAGTATCATCATTCGCATTAGTATTAATATTATTATCAATATTAGTATTACTAGTATTATTAGCATTATTAATATTATTCGTATTATTAGTCTTAGTTTTCTTCTGTTTATCATGATCATTAGTATTATTATGATCCGCCTTCTTCTTTTTGGTAATGATAATAATAATAATGTTAGTATGGTTCTGCTGAAAATTATGTTTATTATCACTATATTCTTTTTAGTATAATGACTATTTCTATTAGTCTTATTATTACTGTGATCAATAGTATTAGTAGTCTCATTAGTAGTAGTAGTAGTAGTAGTAGTAGTAGTAGTAGTAGTAGTAGTAGTAGTAGTAGTATATGTCTTATTCTTCTCTCTATGAATATTATTCTTAGTAGTATAATTAGTGTTGTTACTATTGCTGGACTTCTTATTATTAGTATTATTAGTAATAGTATTGTTATTGTTATGTGTCGTCTTCCTCCTCCTCCTCTTCCTCCTCATCCTCCTCCTCCTCCTTCTCCTGCCCCTCCTCCTCCGCCTCCGCCTCCGCCTCCGCCTCCGCCTCTTCCTCCTTCCCCCCCCCAGAACACCGAGCTCGCCCTGGAATAGGGCTGGAACAACAGCCTGGGAGGTGCACGAAGGATACAGGTGCCCCTAGCTTCCCAAGCTGTGGGGCGCTGGAGCGCCATGGAGGGCCAAGCGAGCGCCTGCGGCGGCGGCGAAGGCGGTGGCTACGACGCAAGTGAGGGCGACAAGATCTATGTATACGGATCCGCTGCCTTGGGCCAGGCACATCCTGGGAACAAGAGCGATGTACACGCCTTCCTGGCTTGACCAGGGCACCATATACGAACAAGGGCTGCCTCCCCAGAGGAACATGAAATCAAGACCCTCTCCCCCGCTGGATGGGTACGCTGGTGAACCTCGCGAAGGCTTCGCGAATGGGATCGACCCGCCCTTGTGGTCGTGGCCCTGTTGGCGTGGTTTGTTGGAGGGTGCCGGAGCACCCCCCCTCCCGTGGGTGAAGTGTGGTTCGTCGTCGGCGTCGGCGTCGGCGTCGGCGTCGGCGACACCCCCCCATCCTATCTGGGAGGTGTGGGTGCTGTCGAACCCTGGGACCCATCCCATCTGGCGGGCGGTGGGGTATGGGGGACGCGGCGATACTCGCGCAAGCAATGCGCCGCGCGCAGCGCCCGCCCGTGACCCCTCCCCGAATGTGAGAGCACGGGCGAAATTGGGGAGACTTGGGGCTGGGGGGCAACTTTGTCCAGCAATCCACGCAGCTGCACCTCGCCCTGGCGAGCCTCTAGAAAGGGGGGCGACGCCATTGGAGAAGTCAATGCGAGAGGCGTTGGAACCCTGCAACTGCGCGGGCGCCTCGGCACTGCAAGAGAGCTCGAACGTTCCATGATGAGAATGAGATCGACGATCGAACAATGCGAGGGACACGCACCATCTCGGCAATCGGGTCAAAGACTGCACGCAGCAACGTCAGGAGTGGCAATGATGGCGCGCGCTCAGGCGACGAGGCCAGGCTCGGGGGGCCGCGACGTTGCCGGCCCAGATGAGGTCGGAGGGCGACTTGCCAAGGTTGGGGAGAACGCGGAGCACGGGGGGGGCCCAGCCAGCCACGATGTGACGCGGTCCTTGTCGAAGAACCACATGGGCGATGGAACAGCTTCTTTGCGGACCTTGCACCCTGTGATTTCCATGCGCACTTGCTCCTGGTCCTTGTCGGGGCCGATTTGCAGGGAGGCGCTGAACCCGTCATCGGCTTCCACTTCGAAACGAACCCATTAGCCTGGGGCAAGACGCTGGGCCCCGAGGGCCTCGGAGACACGTCGGGCGGCGGGACCAGCGGGGCCAATGAATTGGATCATGAAGTTATTGTGAATATTGTCCTGCGCGGCCACCTCGACTGATGAAGCAAAGGCGCCACCTCGTCCGTCAATCATGAATGCTTCGTCTAACCGTTCTCAATTCGGCAAGCTTGCCCGCGAAGGCTCGGGCGATGGTGGGGTCGGTCTCTTGGTCGAAGCCAGCAGAGTTGACAATGGGAACGACAGGCTTCGTGTTGTCGTGAAAGAGGGCCTCGCCGATGCTCCTCATCTGGTTGTGGAGGGCAGCCAGGGAGAAGTCGCGCTCGTAGAGGCGGGACTCGGTGGCCTTGATGCGAATATCGAAACCGCGCAGCTGCTCCAAACGTCTGCGGTTGGTCCCGTCGAACTGCTCGGCTGCCGCACCGTCGACCATCCGGGGGAGATCGCGAACGCCTTCAGCAAGCTTAGAAGCAGAAGCACCGTGCGCCGCGAGCTGCTCCACGAAGGGGCTGACGGTCTCGTCGTCGGCCTTGGCGATGGAGCCAACCATGTGGGCGCGGTAGTTTGTGAACTTGCCGTGCAGAACGAATCACGCCAACCGGCGCACGTATTCATCGCGCGTAGCAACATCAGTATATCTAGAGTAATCGCCGTGAGTAGAAGCCATATCGAATGAGCAGGACGTTGCACGCCCACGCGGTCATACATTTCATCGGGACGCTCTTCATATTCGGGAGGAGCACGAGCATCAAAGCGAGGCTCAACAGTTGCAGCGCCAGCATCAAGGACCTTTTTTCCTGCGCTTGCTCATGGCAGAAGCCGCACGGGGCCTGCGCGCACCATCGGGCATCGGCGGGCGCGGGCGGCGGGGGGTTGCGCGCGGCCGCTCGGAGCTGGCGGCCGCGGACCAGCGGTCTGCACTTTGCCGCTGGGCGACATGGAGACCTGAGCCAAAAATGGCGACGGCAAGGTAAAGGGAGGAGGAGGAGGAGGGGGGGGAAGAGGAGGACCAGTGCAAACCCAAGACTCGTCAACGACATATTGCAACAAGCCCTCCAAAGTCCCCTCTTCATAGGTCCCTGTAACGATTCACTGTCACTGAAAATGCCCCGTTGGAAAAAAA